CCTCTCTCTCCTCCTCCTGCTCTGGCCATGTGACATGCCTGCTTCCCCTTTGACTTCCGCTGTGATTATAAGTTTCCTGAGGCCTCCCCAGATGCTTTCCACACAGCCTGCAGAACTGTGAACCAATTAACCATTTTTTCTTTATAAATTACCCAGTTTCAGGTATTTATAGCAGTGTGAGAACTGACTAGTACACTTCGTTTGGAAGAACCTTGATCCTTACATCATCCACAAAACTTAACAAGTAACAGGTCTAAATATTGCTAATCTTTAAATGATAACATCCAGAAAATCTTAACTTTTAATTAGGCAATGATTTCTCAAGTAGACTATCAAAAGTCTGAACCTTAGAAGAAAAAAATGAATAAGTTGCATTTCATCTAAATTAAATTCTTTTCTTTGAAAGATACTATTAAAGAAATGAGACAGCAAGGCTACAGACTGGGAGAAAACATTTACATTACATATATCTAACAAAGGATTTATATCCAGAATATATAAAGAACTCTAGCTGGGCATGGTGGCTCACGCCTGTAATCCCAGCACTTTGGGAGGCCAAGGCGGGCAGATCACAAGGTCAGGAGTTCAAGACCAGCCTGGCTAACATAGTGAAGCTCTGTCTCTACTAAAAATACAAAAAATTAGCCAGGCATGGTAATCCTAGCTGCTTAGGAGGCTGAGGCAAGAGAATCACTTGAACCTGGGAGGTGGAAGTTGCAGGGAGCTGAGATTGAGTCACTGCTCCCCACCCAGGATGACAGTGGGAGACTACATCTCAATAAAAAAAAAGCCTCTCACATCTCAATGAAAAAGACAGAGAATGCAATTAAAATGGGCAAAAATCTTGTATCTTCAAAAAGAAAATGTGAGTGGCCAATATGTAAATGAAATATGCTTACTTATATATATCACCAGGCAAATGCAAATTAAAACCACAATGGGTTGCCACTATACACCCACCGAGGTGTGGAGCAGCTGCATTTCTCTTGCGTTGCGGGTGAGATGCAAAATCCTCCAAGCACTTTGGGGACCATTTTGGCAGTTCCTTATAAAACTAAACATACACTCACCACATGATTTAGCCATTTTACTCCTAGGTATTTGTCCAAGAGAAATGAAACCTCATGTCCACATAAAGACCTCTATATGAATTGTTATTCATAATCACTAAAATTAGAAAGGCTCATCAACAGGTGAATGGAATACTACTTGGCAATACAAAGGAATAAACTATGGATCTGCAACAACATGAATAGATCTCAGAAACATTACACCCAGTGAAAGACGCCAGACGTGAAACAACGAAACAACGTATAGTGCATCATTCTACTTACATAGAATGCTTAAAACAGGCAAGAAAAAAAGTAACAAGTATAATGACAGAATGTATGCTGTTCAGAGCTTGTCTGGAACCTTCAGTGGCAGATGGGTCAAAGGGTCACAAGAGAACTTTGGGAATGATGAAAATGTATACTAGTTTATACATTTGTTGAGACTTAGCTAACTATACATGCAACATTTTAGTTCATGTGTTATGATTTTTTTTTTGAAGAGCATTAAAATTTGGTGCCAAAATACTTTGATACTGTTTAAAAAAACAAGTTTTCTATAAGAAAGAAAAGTGACTGAACAAAACAGTTTGGGTAAAAGGCATTTGGGTCAATCAGAACGCACAGACGTTGGATGACGTAATGTGATCACCTGATGCCTCCCAGCTATCTGCTTTCTACCTTGAGTGTCTCCAAATACTCTTCTAGACCATTTAAAACCATCTTCCTATGAACAAAACGGCATTCACCTCCTTTTCCTACTACCATGAAAAATTACCCTCTGTGGGACTCCTGGAGCCTTTTTTTCTTCCAGTCTAAAATGAATGCAAGAACTGAATTAATAATTTTCTGCTGATTTGGCTAATACGTAATTACTATCTAAGCAAGAGAGTACAAGGATGTGGGTGCTGGTGTTCAGTGCTTATCCTCCCCTCCCAGATGGCTGCCTATGTTGGAGGGAGCTGAGAAAGGAGGAAGGGTGGCGGGCTGCATGGCCACCTTTTTTTGCGGGTGTAGGTGCAAGCTGAGCAGTGGCTGTCATGTGCAGTAGTGTGTGGGTGTGTAAGAACCTTATAGCCCATGCATCCTGATCACACCTCTGCAGTCTTTCTCTTTGATTTTGTCTTTTGAAAGAGATTGCATTTTAGGTGACACTTCTAATGACTTGCGGATTAATTCACAACTCAGCCTAGGTTCCCCAGAAAACATATCCTGAGGCAAAATTTAGTTGGTGATATGTTACTAGGGTGTTTGATTCCAATGAAAACAGGAGCAAAGGAAAAGGGAATTTAGGCATGGAAAGAGAGGGAGCAGATAGGAGGGAGGGTTCATTATCAGGCAGACCACCCACTGCTGAGTACGAAGTACAAAAGATGGATCCATCTCACAAGATCATCTTTGAGAGGCCAACAGCAACTGCATCTCAGGACATTTCTTAGGAGGCAATAAAGGGAGACTCTTTGATCCATGAATATGTGTTCGTTAGCCAAAGGTCTGCCCCATAGATTTTTAACTTGCCAGAAATTTCAGATTGCATATATGTGAGTACTGAGCAAATCCCGTGGCATCTTAGACCTTGTGATATGAGGATATGAGCATATCCCGTGTGGGCTTGTTCCCATGTAAAGCTGATCAGACTTCTTGCAGAAGTGGGTGCTGAGGCAGCAGCTGGGGTGTTAAAGCCAAAAGCTCCAGAGACAGGGGGAAGCCAAGAAGGTCTGATGTGATGCACGGTTGGATAATGTTGTAATGTGGTTCTGCAAGTCTTAGAACATATAAACTGGTAGTAAGGGGGCTAATTCTTGCTATGTTGTTGGTTTTATTCAAACAACTTCTCTTCATTGTTTACTTTTTATAGCCACGATCTCCAGCAGGGCATTTCTCTAAAAGAACTGCATGGAAATTGGAGAAATAAACTGAACTATGAATGTGTGTCTGATACAACAGATACAATTTTCCATATAATTCCATTGTGCATTAACAGGACATTGAATGCAAAGCAGTGGTGAATAGACTTTTCCAGAAAATAATTAGGGAGCTATATTTATCTCTGAATCTTCCAGGTACTGCGGTCACATTTTCTGTTCCAAAAATAAAATAGCTGATTTTTAGAAAAGGCAGTGATATTTAAAATTAATGCACAGAAACATGCCAACGTGAGATTTAGGATCTAGATTTAGATATTTACTAATATAAAGTCTCAACGATGTTAAAGAAAAGTTTGTTTCATAGAAAAAAAGAGTCAATAAAGTAGTTACCTATTATTAACCATTAAGTCCTGGAATAATTTGAAGAGGTCTACAGAACACAAAAACGAGTTTGATGTGTAGGTTTTGTTAGTTGGCTACAAGTAGGATTGTGTAACCATCTTTTTCAATATTAGAAATCCGAGGTACAGAGAAACTTTATTGGGGATCATTCACTAAAATATAAAACCTGTGGCTGTGGGTGAGTGGCCCTTTAGGTGTGCGGTGGTGGTCCAGAGGGCGGGGTGCACCCGCTGTGCACTGGTACACCAGGGTCCTTGCGCCAGTGGCCTTCTAATGACAGCCGAAGGAGGCCTGTCACAGGGAAGCAAGGATCCTTGCCTTACATTAAGGATCACGGATAGCTCTGGGCGGCACCAAAAGAGGCAGACATTTTACCATCCCTGGAATGACAATCCAGTCTCCAAGTCTGGCTGGGATCTAGTTTGCTGATAACAAAACACATATTCAGGCCTCTCTTAACCATCCATTACATATGTGTACATGTGAGCAGAAAGCGCTCAGTGCGCCTAAGAAATGTTCAGGAGTGAGGGTAAGAGGTGCAGTTTAAGGAGCAGCTTTTAAAAAAATGGTCCAATTTTATAAATGAAGAATCGGGCCGCCACGCCAGGGGCTGGAAGACGGGTCAGGCGGGAAAGCCTGAGGGTGGGGGTAGGGGCGGGGATCCCCGCGTCGCCACTTGGATGCTCGGAGACGGTGGGGGAGAGCGGATCCCAGCAGGTTAGGCCGAAGGAACAGCGCCATGTGCTCCGGGCTCCTGGCGCTCCTGCTGCCCATCTGGCTCTCCTGGACCCTGGGGACCCGAGGCTCTGAGCCCCGCAGGTGAGGCGGGGGCTTCCCGGCGTCTGCAGGCACCGTCGGGAGGCGGCAGCACGCAGTCCGGCGGGCAGAGGCGCGGCCCGGGGGCTCCGGGGCTGCGCCGCAGCGGGCGGTGGTCGTCGTGCGGGGCCCACTTCGGGGGCCGGGGTAGGCGGGCAGCGTTTCCGCCGCCGCTTATGCCCGCGTCGAGGCTGCGGACAGTCCCCGCACTCGCCCGGCCGCCGAGAGCCCAGAGCAGCCGGCTCCGTGGCCGACCCCCAGCCCCGCCCGACTCCGCGCAGCCGCGGCTCCGCTCGCAGCGTCCGGCCCGGGCCGCCCCCGCACTCCGCGGTCCTGGAGCTCCGAGTCCCGTGCGGCGGCCGCCGAGGCGGGAGGGAGCGCCCAGGGCCCCGGCCTCGGGCCGCGGCGAGCGAGGGGGAGGGCAGGGTGCGCGGCGCGCCGGCTCCGCCTCCGACTCTCCGGTCTCCTCCCCCGCCCCGCGCCCGCGCGCGCTCCGCTCTCCTCCCCGCTCCTCCCTCCCCTCCCAGCGCCCGCTCCTCCCCCTCCTCTCCTCCCCCTCCGCCCTCCTCCGCTCCGGGCCAGCGCGGCGGCGGCGGCGGCAGCAGCAGGAGCAGCCCCGGCTGCGGGTCGCGACGGCGGCGGGGCGCCCCCTCCCCCGTGCCGGGGCGCGGCGGAGGGATGTGGGGCCTTGCGGGAGGGAGGCTTTTCGGCATCTTCTCGGCCCCGGTGCTGGTGGCTGTGGTGTGCTGCGCCCAGAGGTAGGGTCGGCGGGTGGGCCGGCGGGCGGGCAGGGCGCGGGGTGCGCGGGGCGCGGGCGGCTGAGCCGCCCCTGACCCGCTCTGTGTGCCCCCCGCCCCTCCCCCAGTGTGAACGATCCCGGGAACATGTCCTTTGTGAAGGAGACGGTGGACAAGCTGTTGAAAGGCTACGACATTCGCCTGAGACCCGACTTCGGGGGTAAGTGGGCTGCGCGCGGCCGCTGCGGGAAGCGCGACCCACGGCGGCGGCGGCCTGGGCGGAGGGAGGCGGGGGCCGCAGCCGCGGAGCCGCGGCGGGTGGGGGTGGGGGCCCTTTGCCCGCGCCCCTCCTGGGGTAGCCCCCAGTCCTCAGAGCCGCCCGCGCCCCGCGTCGGAGCTGGGCTGATCGCCGTGTCCTGCGCTTCCCGCAGGTCCCCCGGTCTGCGTGGGGATGAACATTGACATCGCCAGCATCGACATGGTTTCCGAAGTCAACATGGTGAGTGTCCGCCCTCCCAGGGCGGTCCCCGCGCCCCCGGCCCGCTGTCTGGGATCACAGGCGTCCACAGGGCTGGGCCGGAGGCCTCTTCGGCCGGGGCCGAGTTTCCCCCGCCCGCAGAGGGAGCCGCGCTCCCCGGCGCCGGCCCCTCGCTTGCCCGGCTCCCTGCACCCGCCCGGGGCGCTCGGGGGCCTGGCTGGCTTCGGAGCCGCGAGGGCGCAGCCTTCCTGCGGAGGGGTCCGGCCGGCCTGGCGCTCCCGTCTGCCGCTGCAGCTCCGCCAGCGCTCTGCCGCCTGGTCCCGGGGCTTCCCGAGCGCCGTCTCGCCTCCCTAGCAACAGGCGCTGTGGAACCGGGAGAGGCGAGATGTGGGGGTGGCTCCCGTGTTCTAGGTAAGATAGTTAAGGTTTCCTTTGTTGTCGTTTGGAAAGAGGTGCTGGCTGCAGGAAACGGGAACGAAGACGGGGGTCTGTGCGTTCCAGGGGTGGTCTCTGCGGTTCCTCCCAGGCCGCCTCCTGGACCGGCTGACCCGGGCCCGGCCCCGCCAGTCTCTGTCCGAGGTGCTGACCGGCTGCCGCTGCTTGGGAGAGCAGGAGGCCGCGCATGGGCTCGGAGGAGCCGCTCTGCCGGGAGGGTGGGAGGCCGGTGAGCCGGGGTCCCTTCGGTCTTCTGTGGATGCAGACTGGATTCAGTATTCTGACTGTGGGAAGCGGAGGTCAGTGCCCCGAGGTGCGAAGCGGGCTTTTGCCAGGAGCCCGTTAGGACGCCGGGGAATCGGGAGAAGGATGGCTCTTTCATTTGTTAATTGAGCTGAAACGCCGTGGGATTTGAAAACTAGTTTAGTTTTCTGCTGAGGGACGCTCTAGAAGGAGCATTTATAAACAACATATATATATGTTTTGGAAGGAATCGTTTGCAACTTTTCTTTCGGACATACGACGTTGAGACTACAGTGAGACGTGGTTTTAGATCCACTCCGTAGGCTTCTTAACTCTGGTGTGCGTCGGAATCACGTGGGCAAACTTGCTTTAAATGCATGCTTGTTAGTTCCTCACTCCAAGGGACTCTGATCAAGGTAGGCTGGAGTCTTGGGGTCTCTGCATTTAAAACTGCTTCTTCAAATATTTTGAAGCGGGTATTTTGTGGACAATATTTTGAGAAATTTTTCAGTAAGTCACATACACAAAGTAAAACTATTTTTAAAAATAGATGTTAGTGAGGTACTTTTAAAATACCTACCACTAAGGATCTTGTAGGAAGAAACTTAACCACGCCAAGGTGTTGTCATTAATTTTTCACTCTTAATCTAAAGCTTTTAAATTTACCATATGTATTTAAAAATGTACCTTTTTTCAAAGTGTATCACTTAGGACATTTGTAAGTCAAATATTATATCAGTAATTAGCAAGAAACACAGAAGGAATGTGAGTCATAAATTACCTTACAATAAAAATTAACATGTGTATTTTACTTTTTATGTAATACTATAAAAGTGATTTTACTCAATGTGTTTGTTTTGTGCTTTTAAGGAAACAAGTTAATACATTTAAGATCCACACTCTGTGATCTGTGATTTTCTCAACTGGGGACTTCACATTCTCTAGAGAAGACAATTTAGTACAGAAGTTAATTGATTATTTAGTGGATTATTATGTCAAAAACCATTGTATCGGAGGATGGCAGGTGGAAGAGAAAATGTATTGATTTTGCCCTTCAAGAGCTCTACACATTAGTAAAATAATTTGGGGAGTGAGGAGAGTGTGCTGTTGCACACCATCACATATTTGTTTGAGTTATTTTTTAAACTTAGTTTTCCAGTTGTTCTGGCATCATGCTGTTAGTTGATAGCTTTAAAAACTTCATCAATGTTTGTCTAATTCGTAGTCTGTGACTTGAAGTGTCTCAGTTTTCTCCAAACCCAGTAACGGAAAGACAAATGGAAGATACAGGCCATTGTACTGAACAATCTTTAAGTGTATATTCCATAGCCAATAGGTATATATAGCATGCCAAAATATACTTGTATGCATTTTTTTTTTTGCATTCTTAGGACAGTAATTTTTCTGGCTCTGTAAACACATACTTATTGTAAACAAATATTGAGGATGAGTAGAATTGGAGACTGAAGGCTGTTGGGTAGATGTGAATGTCAGCCATTGAAAATATCTTCCTCCCACAAGCAGATTGGTCACATCATGCTCTAGAAAAATCTGATTTTCCTTAAAATATTTGTGCATGATAATTATGGTATTTCACCTGTTCCTAAAGAAACCTCAAATAGAGCAATGGTTAAATATCATTTAGGGACTCATGTTTTAGAGGGAAAGAACAGAAAATATATGAGCATAGGATTAGAGCTGCCACTCAGTTATGTTGTTTGAAAACAGTAAAATCTATTAATGAGCTTTATTAATCACCTTACTGGTCACACAAAACTAAGTGTGGTAAGTTATGAAACTAAGTAAGAAATGGTCTCACTTTAAGTGTGTTGTCACTCTTAGAGCAGATACGACAAACGGTTGTTCACAGGTAGAATGTGGCAAGGCCCATTAGAGGAACAAGTGACAGGCACACAGAAGAGAGAGGGAGGGAGGAGGAGGGACGAGAGAAGCTGGCTGGGAGAAGGGAGGTATTTGATGTGGAAACTTTCATGAAATAAATTATATTTAAATTATGTGAGGGATATGAATAGAATTCTGACTGGTTTACTTGAAGGAGGATATTCTGGGTTAGGAAAGAAAATGACAGAGTTCTGAATGGATAGATGAACAGGATCAGAGATTTAGAAGGGGAGATTGGAGAGACGAAGTTGGAAAAGCAAGACAAACCGCTGTGCACCTAGACCGTTCTGCCAGAGGCCAAGGACTTCACATGATAATTTCAGGAAATAAGGAGCCTATAAATGATAAAGGTTTTAAAGCAGGTAACTGACATGATTTGAATTGTGGCATAAGATGATTATTTTGGCCAAAATGTTAATTTAGTAGAGGATTAGAGATAGTGAGGTAGAATCAATGAGGGATAAATGATCTTGGAAGATTCTTTCTTGAAAATTTCCCCTCAGGTTTTGATAGATATATTTTTGAAAACGTGTATTTAGTGAAATAAATACAAATTCACCAAAGTTCAAAACAAAGACTTTGAAAAACACGTATATCTGAAAATGGGGAGAGATGTGTATGCATTTGTTCATGAGTTTTTTAGGGTCATTGCGGAGAACAATAACAGATACTACTCAAGAATGATGCTGTTGTTGCTTTTTGCTTTAAACAATTGTAGATTCCAGTCCTTATCTACTGGTAACGTGTGTCGATGATGCCTCCAAAAAATGTCTCCGACCTCAAATAAACACATGCATAGATTAGTTATGCATGTAAATGCATATCTCATCATTCATTTTGGTGTTTTGTGGAAACAATCTAGGAAAGGATTTGAGTGTTTTAATATTTAGCATTGGTTTTGCCATAACTTGCTTCATGGATAGTGGAGTTCTACATTTCCATTTTTTCCTAAATCTTTTAATGTTTCTTTTCATACACTCTTTTTTTTTTTTAATTAGCTGACCTGATACTCATCAAAGAACATTTTGCTTTATGTAACTTCTCTCTTGTTTCTCTTAGCCCCTGTTTAAAATTTTAGGTAATCTATAAAAAATTATGCATGGCTAGATAATTATTGAGATTTAGTCTGTATATTTCTTTAAGTGAGATTGCGTATGTCCAAGAACACTGTCTGCTGAAAATTACTGTGTGTGTTATCATTTTGGTGCTTACCCGTGGTTCTAGCGAACAATAAATGTGTTGAGTAGATAGATGAAGAGATCAACAAATGGGAAAAATTATTGCAAGTATAGGAAACATAAAATATTGAAAAATAAAACAATTAGGGATTTTAAATTTAAACACAGTGTTTTAAAATAAGAGTTTTAAAAAACTTATTAAAATGAGCCATTATTTTGATCTGTTAATTTGGAGAAGTCACATGTACTTACTTTTTACTTCATTAACTATGTGGTATTAGGAACATAAAACTAGATTCAGACTCTAGCGATAGTGATAATTCCTGTAATTTAACTTCCACTTTGTTATCACTTCATCCTTAACTAATCCATTAAAATTAACTCAATCTTAATGAAAGTGTAACTACAGGACTTTTTTTCTCATTTCGTGCATATAAAAAATTATTATTTTTTTTAAATTAGAGTTCCTTTTGGGTAACCTATAATGTGTATTTTTAGTTATGAGACATACGCATTCATTATGCTAGCTGTTTTGTGTTCATTTCTCACTTGTTGCATTTTCTTCTCAAAATCGATTTGTTAATGTCTAGGTGTGAAATAAGTGTGGTGCATATGAACATAATTTTAGCACATTTCAAGAAGCAGCTTTGGAGCTATATCACTACTAAACGGATAAAGTCTGACCTGTGTACAAAAATGACACACACACATACACATTTGCACTATTATTTTATGTTTTTCTTTCTTCTTTTTAGAAGAGAGGCAAAGAGGAGAGGCAGATTCAGGCTAGAGTGAGCTAGGATTAGAGGTTTGGAAAATGCAGCTTTTAGACATCTTTTGTCCAAATTTATGTTACTCAGTCTCCTTCCCCCCATTTCAGGGTCTAGAAGCTGCTTTGCCATCAGAGAGTGCTGAATGAGAACACAGCATGTCCAGTCCCTGGCCAGGTTCTCAGGCAGGAGGAGCTGAATCCCAGGGGTCCATGTAGTGTGTTTAACAAGAGCCTTATTGCATTGGGAGCTAGGGGTTCTGTTTCCAAGTCCATGGGACCATCTAGCCTCAGGCAAGTCACTTAATCCTCAGGAATTCAGTCGGAGGTTTCCAGATGCCCATTGTGTGGGGACACAATTGATACCAAAGTGATATCATAAGGGCTGAGGTCTACAGAGAAAAGCTCAGTGAGGACACCCACACTGTCACGTGTTAGCAGGCTGTCCTTTACTCCTTGCTTCTGGAGAGGCCTGGGCCATTTTCAGAGTTTGC